AATGTGATTTACAGTTTCTGTTTGGCACAGCTCATGTTCTGCTCTGTTCCCTCAGTCTGCCAGCTCAAAGTTGTTGATGTGACAGAGGGAGCAGAGTCTGTCCTGCTACCCTTCATATCCAAAAAACTGAAGAATCAGGAGACCGCCAAAGTGGAGTGGAAACATATCCAAGAAGACGAAATGAAGGTCGTGTATGAGAAGGATCGGAAAAGTCAAGACGTACCTGACACAGGCCCCGTAAAGATGAAGAAAAATCCATGGATTACAGGAAACGCCAGCCTAACTTTGTCAGATCCTCACTCTGAAGATGGAGGTGTTTACATATGCACCATGTATGACACGCATGGAAAGGCCCTGAAACAGAAAGTAGTGGCACTCTGGGTCAAAGGTCAGTATTAGAGGATGTTAGCTTGAAAGATCCTGATGATGTCTTAGGGTACGTTCACACTGCAGGTCTTAATGCTCAATTCCGATTTTTTGATCAAATCGGATTTTTTTTTGTCAGGTTGTTCACACTACAAATAAAATGTGACAGCAAACACGCTGCTGTGTGAACCCTCAAAGCGGCCCTTTGAGGACGTCACACACAACGCGCTCTGTTTAGATCCAGACCAAACAGTATTGTTTGACTCATGGCCGTTAAAATAAAAGACTTGTTTCGGACTTTACGTTTCCCAATTTTGCTTTAAGTTTTTTTGTTATTTACATATGGCCTAATAATTATCCTTATTGCTGTTTTATAGCGGAGCGGTGCTTCAAAGGAAAGTTGCAGATTTCTGTCAGAATCTGCAGATTATACAGTACAAATAAAATGTTCACGTTTCTCCAAAGTCTTCCCAACAGTTTACTAACATCTACACTGGATGGCCAGGAAGCGTTCGCGATGTCTTTTCGGGCGCTTCCTGGCGCTGATAATGTCTGTCTTGTGTCAGTGACGTAAAAGACGGATTTAATGCGACATGACCATTCAAACAGCAGTCGCTTTCTGAAACATCAGATATGTATCAGATTCAGTACCACATACGAAAGTGACCCAGATCGGATTTGAAAATATCGGATTTGTGCCGTTCAAACTGTCATACCATGATCAGATACGGGTCGCATAGGGTCAAAAAAGTCAGATTTGATGCGCTTTCGCCTGCAGTGTGAACGTAGCCTTAGTGTGTTAACTTGCTTTGTTTCAAAGAAACATCTGCAGTCACATTTTAGGATATTATTACATTGTCTGTAAAGGTCTCGCTTCACATAAGTGACAGCAGTTGTGAGCTGTGTTGATGCAACAGGCAGTTACATTTGTAGGGAAGAGCACATCAGGTTACAAAATGGGTTACCTCATAGCATTTCAGAATGGTTTGCAGTTGCAATTGTGCAGATTTCCCACTGAAGCATTAATCTCCAGTAATAGTCAAGAAGTGGGAAGAGGGTTTTTTTTTTCTCTATATGAAATCATAGAGAATAAAACTACAGTCCTAAGGAATAACTATATTTAGTACAAAGTAATTGTTTTCCGCAAAGACATTTTCAGGAAACAGGAAAAACAGCTCTGAATGTGAGTGTCTATTATCCTCTGTCCTTCATACTAACTACACACAGTCACATGATCTTGGTCTTGGTCAGGACTCTGATCTGACCTGATGCTGTGTTTCTTCTTTACAGAGGGCTGGCTGAAAACCATCAGAAGCTTCTTCCCGTGTGCCAGAAAGAACAATGGGGTGATCTGAATGAAAAGGCAAAGGTGAATCTGTTCACTGTTCAGTCAATGTGATTCATCTCTTGATGAAGCTTTTCCAAATGAAACTCACAGTAATTAGCGTCATTACCAAATGAAAAGTCACATTGACAAAGATGTAAAACTACTGTGTGTTTGTGAGCTCTCAAATGTCTGTTTCAGTCAGTTTGAACACTTGACACATGCACTCAGCACAACCTGAACTAATATTCAGATCGTCTGTGCACACTTTAAACTAAAGGTCTGCATAGAGAGGTGAGAGCAGTAAAGTGTTTTTTAGTACATTTTTAATAAAATTTAAGATTTATTTCATTTATTTAGGAATAAAATAGAAAAATTCTAAAAATGTTAGCTATCTAACATTTACAAAGGTAAACAGTTACTTTGATGACAGATGTCTGTACTAATTGATACTGTAGTATTTAACTATTTTAACTTTGATTTCAATTTACTGAAGGTTACCTGTGGGGTTCAACAGGGTTCAGTGCTGGATCTCAAACAGTTTATACTGGACATGCATGAATCGTATCTAAATTACTAAAACTTTATTTGCTGTAATGTATCATCAGTTATAGTCATTTATTTTTCTCTGGGAAAAGTTTAGAACAGTGCCTGAATGCAGTGGGAAAAAAAATGTTGCGACAGATACATCATCACTAAATGACAGCAAAATAAAATGTATAATAATTAGTAACTAGTCAAAAGTAGCTGTTATAAATTATTAAGAGTGTGTACCACTATGTAAGTTTTAAAAACATGGTGCTAAAAAATATGAAAGTGAATCAAAACTTTCATTGTTTATAAAAAAGAATATTTTTTGTGTGTTTATTTCTGTATGTTTATTGTTATTTATTCTTTCAAAATTATTTTACTTTTTTTTTTATTATGTTTTCCTTTGGTCTTAGTTTCTTTTATTTAGAATATACTGCATGTGAAAAGTGTAGTTGGAACATGCTATAGCTTCAGCTTTCAGCTTTAAGACTAAAATCTCCAGTTCAGTTCATTTTTTGTCATTTATTTATTGTTATAGCATCTCTTGGTTGTTTTTGTTATTTTTTGACTTTGGTTTTGTTTTCTTAGAAAAAAAGATGTATGTTAAGGTTAGTTAGGGTACTCTGCGTATAACAGATGTTTGAAGCTGTTCTGGAGTTTCAGAGCTGTTGTAGATCATACATAAAATATGCTTGTGTGTGTTCAGACTGTTTGTCAATGGGGAGACTCTCAGGGAAACATACAAACTGGACTCTGCTTTCTATAGAGAGTCCAATTTGTATGTCCAATTTGTGCAACTCCTGAAACTCAGGACTGTTGCGCTGTTGCACTGTGCTGTTGTGGATCTAGAGAAAACATGTGCTAACTGAGGAACTAATGAATGAGGAAGTAAGGAGTGGCAGAAAAGTATGTGCCTGTCTGAGCCTGCAAAACATTGAATTTGAAACCAGGGTTGTACCTTCATCTGTTGTCAGGAACAATGCAGTGATCTCTGCCGATGCTCGCACGCATTCGGTCTTGGTGTGGATTTTATTGTCATTCCTTGAAAAGAGAACTGGTAGAGTTCCTTCTTTCATTTGTCAGCAGTCACAACAAAGTAACTAAAAGTGCCTATTACAAGTATTTTTTGTAGAGCTGAAGTTGTCCCTGTTGATTCTGATTATTTGTGCCATAACAGTGGTATGAACAGGAAATTATTGAAACCAACTCTGTGAATTCAATGAGAGGAACTGTTACAGAAAAAAACAATAACAATGTAATGTTGACTCTATCTCACCTTTCTTTAAGCCTAAATCTGCTCATCCTCACTTACTAGCTAGCTTTTTATGTTAACATCAGCTGTGGCATGATACTTAAACTGAAACAGTAACGTGTATCCCAGACATTGACAGATCCCATGTTGTGCACAGTGTATTCCATTTTTAGTGGAATATCTTTTGAGGACAACCAAACTCTATTACCAGAGTCATAGGTACAGGCCATGGTCGTAAGGTGATGTTTGCTTTGGTCTGCAGTCCTGAGTAGAGCTATTCAAGTATCAACACTACCATAGACCAGTGTCTATGGTAGTGTTGAAGATGATGCTGCACTTGGGAATCCCATTTACTAGTTACACTCTGATTAGTTTAGACAGTGATTGAAAAAAGGCACAAGAATATGGAATTTTACAAAAAACTGTGAAAACCGCACTCCTGTCCCTGCATCAGATGCATCTAGTTCTTCATTAAAAATTCACATGGGCTCTTGTTGACCTTTAAGTAAAAATATGTAACACAACACTGCAAAAGTGCTTGCGGTAATGGCGTCGGAACCGGGACCAGGACCTTGATTTTTCATGCAACGTGCATGGTGTGTATTGTGCTCTTATTGGTTTTCAGCTAATAGCTCCTTGAGAATAACATTTTAGGTGCAAAAAATATTTTATGTCAGTCCAGTTGTATTGTTAGTTTTTGTAATATAGATTCAGAAATGGGAACAAATTGTGTACTTTTGCAACATGCTGCCATTGTAGTAAAGTGCCTAAAGATACAGATTTGCTAAGTTGATTCATAGGTCAGTGTTAAGTGGCTTAGCAAACAAATGAAAAACATAATTCTGAAAGCAGTCAGGTACAATAACTGGATTGAAAGTGCAGGAAAATGCCAATATAAGGCCATGCATTCATTTCCAAGGCAATGAAAGAGCTTCACAGAGCCTAGAGAAGTATTGCTCCAAACTACTTTATAAAACTATACGACAGTCTTTCTCCTGGGTAGCAAAATATGAAGAAATAAGTGTGATTTAAGACTCTAGCACAATGTTTATTTACAACAATCTCTATATACTCTTTTAATACAGAATATCCTCAACTGTACAAGTTATCTTTTGTACAAAATGTTCTGATTGTACTCTGTGACGATAGTGGGTATTTCTGTTTGTACTTCTTCTTGGTCAAAAGCCTTTCTGACTCTGTATTACTCTGTATTGATTGACCCCTTTGCAAAGGAAAATAAAACCTCACAAAGACAACTTGTTTGTGCGCATTTCAATTTATTTTAGATTTCCTGAACAAGGTTAAGATTTTCCTTCACCTTTAAT